CTTATGTCATTCTGTAAAGTCTAGGTCAGTGGTGGCAAAGCTATGGCATACGGGTTATTGTGTTTTTCTTTTAAGACAAAAGATATTAATGTAAAGTTGTTTTTCCTAAACTAAAACCTCAGTCTTCAGGATTAATTACAGTGTTGACACTTTGCGATAAATAAGAGGATTTTGGGTTGTGGTTTGGCACTTGGACTCTAAAAGGTTCACTACCACTAGTCTAGGTATTACCTCAATTTTAATTTTTAATTTTTAATTAATTAATTAATTTTTGGTACCAGAGATCGAACTCGGCTCCTTGCGCTTGCAAGGCAGGTGGCGGAACCACTGAGCTAAATCCCCAGCCATTACCTCAGTTTTAGAGAGCACTCAGTATAGCAATACCCAAGGTCATAGAAAACACCTAAATACAGTATTTGTTCATTGTTCTTCATATGTATAGAATATTTTTTTTTTTTTTAAGGCCATGTTTTATTTGCTGATTAATGGACAAAAGGCAATGTAATTTATTTTCAAGTATTTTCTTGAAAGTCTGTGCTCATAAAAATCATGAAAAGTTGGAAAGACTGTTAAATCACTGAAACTTTAAATATATCTTACACAATCTTGTTTGTACAAAAATACAAGTTAAATATAAACATAAAGCAATCATGATAATTGTATGCAAATCTGTTTTATGTGATCTTTAGTTATATATAAAAGTTTCTTGGTTCTGTTATTTGTGAAAAGATCAATACCAGATTAAGTTACTATCTATTGGCAAAGGGTCCTAAAAAGCTTACTTTAGCATTAATCTTTCACAATGGTTATGTGTTGTCTAATTTGAGACCACCTAAACACTGGAAACAAACAAAAAAAAGGGCAGTTATGTCCATAAACCAACAAATAATTTGGCTGTAATGTATCATAAAACACAAAGAAAGTCCCCATAGCTGTACAATAAACATTATGTACTACATACTCTCACTCGGGTGCACATGCACGCATGCACTCATAGGGCAAACCCTAATGAGGCGCTGCTTCCAGTTCTATATTCAGCTGTGCATTCTTTCTTACTTCATCAAACGAATAGCTTTTGGTCACTTTTCCATTCTTGAAGACAGTATGGAGAAGATCCTGACCATATTCCCCAAGGTCTCCTTTTCCTTCCTCAAGTGTAACAAAATTCCCTGCTGGTGTCCTATGTAATGATAACCGGCCCTTTTTGGACCTTTTGTTGGGATCAGCAACTGGGTCTTTGAAGACATTAATCCCAAGGCCATTGGTGACAACATAGCTACACTTGAAGGAACAATTCAGGAGATCACTGGTTAACTTCTGCAGCAAAGGTCCACCAGAACCAAAGGCAACATTTTCAATGCTCCACTTTTTTTGTTTCATGCCTTCTATAATCTCTTGTAGGGTATTAATATCTACTCCATCCCCTTGAATAACTGTAAGATAAGGTGGCAGCAACTTGTAGCCTTTTGAGTTCTCAGTAACAGGAAATTTCTTACCTAAAATATCTAAAACCTTTAATACAGTATCAAGAGGATTTCCAGAATCAGGTCTGATTATTAGTGGTGCCTCAGTACTTCTTGACAATATTAAATGTCTTAGATCTTCACCCCATATTTTCTCACACACATTATAAATGTCATAGCTATCACTGACCACAGATATAGGCACTGATGAAAACTGTGTTACTATATGTTCAAAAGCATCTTTTTCATGGTTTTTCCCCCAGGCTGTTATCGTACTATGTTCTGCTGCTGGAACAGAATAGCCTGGAACAGGATCTTTGGTGCCATAGTATTTTTTAATTAGAGCAATTCCCGCTACTGTATCTGTTCCTTTGAAGTTAACCAAATGAGCAGATGCCCCTATGCCAGCAGTCTTTTGGGAAGAGACCCCTCTGTAGCCAAAATCGTGTAACTTGTATTCCAGACCATCTAATTTACCAGAAGTTTCTAACAAATATTTGGCCAAAATTTTCTTCTGCTCTCTAGAATTTGTAGCCACTGTGGTTGGATACCAGGATTGAACAAGAATAGTCTCAATCCAATTTGTAAGCCAGTAGCACTCTGGATCAGTGTTTTCTACCGTGAAGAGAACATTTCCTCTGGGAATGACAGAGCCCTCAGGAACGGCCTTTACTTCTATAGGGAGATGCCCATCATATTTCTCAAGAATGTAGTTCCATCCCTTTTCATTAAAGACATCATCCTGGAAATGTTCTTTGTACACCTCTTTGGCTTCCTGGATTTTCTCTTTGGTCACAACCTTACCTTTCAAGTACTTATTAAGAATGTACTGCAACCCATAAAATTCTGTTCCTCGTATTTCACCTTCCTTACTTTGGAGTTTTCAGTCTTCTTTTCATGGCATTCAAAGTAGGAATAAACTTTGCTTGTGTTGGGTGGATATTGTTTATAGTGAGTAACCTTTTAGGAGTTGGTGGCCAGGAGGATGTTGAACTCGGCTTCTGCCGCAGCGTTCATCTCGGGCCGGAGTGGAGGGGCTGCGCGCCGCGAGATCCTCCGGCGCACCTGCGAGGAAGGAGAAAAATGGGCTTCACCACGCCCCGTTGCTTAAGTCACTGCTTCTATGTATAGAATATTAAAATGTGTGTCAGGCTATAGGCACTGATGCTGGTCATTTTGCAAAATGCTGTATTCTTTCTATGATACGTACTATCTCTCTTCCTTTTTCTGGTTGGAAACTTCTTAATTGAGTTAAAGGAGAAAAGTTCTTTGGCATATTTGAAAACAGAAGTAAGAGTAGTATATTCGGTATTTTTGTTTCTTTGAGACAAAGTCTCGCTATGTAGTTAAGGCCGGCCTCAAACTCACTATATAGTCCAGACTGGCCTTGAACTCACAGTGATCCTCCTGCTTCAGGCTCCCGAGTGCTGGGATTATAGACGTGCACCACCATGCCTGGAGTATGTTTGGTCTTTACAGGGTTCTGATAAGTAGTGTTGTCATCAACATTTTATTTGCAAAAAAATCTTTTCATTTGCAAGTTCTAAGGTTTTAAAATTTTTTTATTAGAAACTATTTTGTATATTTAAGGTAATATGTGTCTTACTATCTGCTAGCCTCAAATTTGCTGTGTTGCTAAACTGGCCTCAAACTTGTGATCTTACTGCCTCAGCCTCCTGAGTGCTGAGACTAGAGGTGTGTCCCACCATGTCTGGCTAAAAAGAATTTTAAACAATGCTTGTGGTTTAATTTTAGGAGGGTGGCCATATACACATAAACATGCACATACATGTGCATCAGATACGCATAAAATGCCACTCCCTTTTGCCTTGGCACCCTTGGCATAGAGGGTGAGCACTAAATGGTGATGTCTTGGCTAACTAGGAGTGTGTGCTCTGGGGCCTAACACTCCTGGTGCAGATCCTGGACCTGCCTCTAGCCAGCTCTGTAACCATGGGTGACTTACTTAGCCTCTCTTCATCTGTCCATTGGGGAAAGGAAAACATCTGCCTGTGTGTAGCTGAAAGGGTTAACAAACAGAAAGTGTTATGGTTCAGAGTCACTGCTGCCTGAATATAGTATTGCTGTTATTTAAATCTTTCTTTCTTTTTTTTATATGGAATGCTTCATGAATTTGCGCGTCATCCTTGCTCAGGGGCTGTGGTAATCTTCTTGTATCATTCCAATTTTAGTGTATGTGCTGCTGAAGCAAGCATTGTTACTGAGCTCTTGTGTGTTGTACCTTTTGGTTAGAAGTGCACTTCTTTGCTTAGGTTACCATTTGTGTGTTGGAGATGTTCCTTCTAGAACCATGCCTCCCTGTCACATGCTTATGTGCAGTGTGAGCCTTATTAATACTCTTGTCAGCATTTGAGGTTGGAACATAAGTGTGTGGCCTTACCCAGTGGAATCTAGCGGGAGAGTTAAGCACCATAGCAACTGTTGCTATTTGTGTCCTGAGCAGCAGCTGCCTGAGACAGATTTATTTTTTAATCCTGATCTCACTGATTGCCTGGGATGGGGCCCTGCTGTAGAGAAGTTGATTGGTTCAGATATCCACTGTAGGAGATTTCATGACCACAGGTTATAAAGATTCTGTTCCACATGAAATATGAGGAGCTAAAGCTTTGTGTGAGGGAGAAAGGAAGAGATTAAGCTTTCACATTCACAGTGGTTCCCTGAAGTGTAGTGTGGCTGGATTGATTATATGAGAAATCACTTTTATTATGGGCAGGGAGACTTCATGCTCTTCAGTCAAAAAGTAATTCTACTGTTTATAACATTCTCCAGATGATTTAGTAGTCTGTGCTTCCACTGTATGAACATACGTACACATATGCACACATACATGTATTTGTGAAATAACTTATATATTTGTTGTTGTCAGCTGTGGATTTCAGAAATAAGACTGTAATGAATACTTCATTACCAAATGCTTTTCTGAAGTAGACAACAAGATCTTTAGAAAGAATTTGTTTCCAGTTGTGGTTGGATTAATGGAGTACTGGATGTCATTGAAATATTTCAAGTCTTATGAAATGCCTTGAAATAGTAACACGGTCCATTTCCAAATTTTGACTGCTAACATACCTAGGGCAGATAAATTCTCAGTTGCGGAAATTTTTTTTTTTGTACCAGGATTGAACTCGGGACCTTGCTGTTGCAGAATATTTACTGAGACTTTGCTGTATACCAGGCTCTGTTCTCAATGTCGGAAACACACAGTGAATGTTGTTGGTCTGATTTTTGTTTTCAAGTTCCCTGTGTACTTTAAATTTCCTCTTAAAAATGTGATACTTACAGTGTTTTGGGGTTTTTTTGTTTTGTTTTGCTGCCAGGGATCGAACTCAGGACCTTGAGTTTGGGAGGCAGGAGGCTGAACCACTGAGCTAAATCCCCAGCCCAATACTTAAGTTTTTGATTGTTTTATTGAGATTCAGTGGTATGAATATCCTGATTGGATATTTATTTTGAGTATGCATATGACATCATGTTGAATTAAAGAACTTAATGGAATGAAACATTTTCATTTTCCAGGTATTATTAACCCAAAGAACCCTAAGGAAGCACCGAAGTCCTTCAGCTTCGACTACTCCTACTGGTCTCACACCTCGGTGAGTCTCCTGAGCCACTTTCCCTTTCTATTTTGTCTTTTCCCTTAGGTGAACAGATTCAGTTGATGCTTTGCAGGTGTAGTCCAGCATCAGTTGACTTTTTGATACAGTGAATACTGTCTGAAGAATAAATTGTTCTTTTTATTTTTGGGGGGGTTTTATTGAGACTGGGTCTCGTTATGTACCCTATGCTGGCCTTGAACTCGTGTGATCCTCTTGCCTCAGCCTCCCCCAAGTGCTAGAACTACAGGCATGCGTCACCACGCCTGTCCAGAATAAAGCATTCTTTTTATTTTTTGGTACCTGGGATTGAACTTGGGACCTTGAGCTTGCAAGGCAGGCAGTGGAACCACTGAGCTAAATCCCCGGCCCAGAATAAAGTATTCTTAATAAAATATTTTGGTTGATGGAAAAATTTATGTATAACATACACATACATATAAAAGTGATCTTTGTTAAACTAAATCAATACTGAACCTAATTTAGCCTCATTAGACATCTCTTGAGGATTTATTTAGAAATATCTTAGGATTCTCATTACTGTACTTACAGATCCTAGAAAGTGCCGAATTTAAAAACCTGTTCAGTGTATTATTAATTTTAAGTTAAAATTTGAGAGAATGGAAGGCTAGGAAGATTGGAATGAGCACAGTTAATTTTAAAAATTGTAACAGAAGGCCGGGGATTTAGCTCAGTGATTCCACCGCCTGCCTCGCAAGTGCAAGGTCCTGAGTTCGATCCCCAGTACTGAAAAAAAAAATTGTAACAGGAGAATGTGGCCTCTGAACATTCTGGAAGAGCCTCAGAGTCTCAGGGGAAACAGGAGCTTGACAGCACCTAGGAAGAGGTGGGAGGGCTCCTCCCATGTGTCCTCAGTGCAGAGCCCCAGGCTCCCTGACCTCGGGCAGAATTTGCCTCTGTGCCATCCATCTCTTTGTTACACACTTCGCTTTCATCTTCCCTGTTTTGTGTTGAGAAGTAAAAGATGTATCAACCTGTTGGCAAAGCCTAATTGCCAGGGAAGAGTCTGTGGCAGGAAGTGGAATATTTGGAGAGGGAAAGAGAAGGGTGCTCTGGTTGGAGCTCCCTGGCTAGAAGAGTGACGTGAGGCTGTAGAAAGTGGATGTGTCTCGCCAGCTAGTTATGGAGCTGTTTCTGGTTATGGATGACTTACTGTACGTGCGCGTGTGCACGCACCCCTGGGTGGTATGTGTGCAGCGAAAATTTGTGTAAGGGGTACTTTAAAAATGTACAGTACAGTTTAGGCGACTTCTGATTTGAAACATTTTTATTTATTATGGAAGAAATTGAAAAGTATAGAAAAGAATTTGAATAAAATGCCTTTTATTTTCCTTTTTTTTTGGTACTGGGGAATGAACTCAGGACCTTTCACTCGCAAGGCAGGCAGCAGAACCACTGAGCTAAATCCCGGGCCCTATTTTCCTTTTAATCTTTACAGCCTGAAGATCCCTGCTTTGCATCTCAAAACCAAGTGTACAATGACATTGGGAAGGAAATGCTCTTACATGCCTTTGAGGGCTATAACGTCTGTATTTTTGCCTACGGGCAGACTGGTGCTGGGAAATCTTACACAATGATGGGTAAACAGGAAGAAAGCCAGGCTGGCATCATTCCACAGGTAAAAAGTAATTACTTTTTGTCTTAAATTGCTTTAACAAGTATTTTTATTTGGCAAACATGTATTTGGGCACTAAGATGTGCAAGGCACAAAGGTGACGACCTCTGTCCCTTTCCCTCACAGGAGCTTAGGTGACATGGAAGAGATTGACATGCACACGTGCCTGTCTGTAAAGGTGGAAGAATGAATGTTTCATGAAGATTTTGCTGTGCCCTCAGTGCCACGTTATTTTATCCTTTGATGAGTGGCACCAGCTCCCTCTAACCCCAAGCCAGGATCTCATGTGTGCCAGGCATCTGCTCAAAACCACATGGACAGTGCAGTCTCAGCCTCCTGCCTCAGCCTCCCGAGGGCTGGGATTTCAGGCATGTGCCACCACAGCCTGCTTGGACCTCCATTTTATAGACAAGAAAATAAAGGCACAGGGAGGTCATGATCAGCTGCTCAATTAAGGGATAGTGCCACGATCCAAATGAAGGCAATGTAGTTCTGGAGACTTTGCTTTTGCCTCTGTATGATATTTCTTTAGCAGTAACATAATTGTTTATGGCAGGTTATGCTTAAGCTAAATGTTTTATTACATTTAGACTTTAGCTTTTCTGTTCTTTTACTTTACTTTTTTTTTTTTTGAGATAGGGTTTTGGTGTGTAGTTCAAGCTGGCCTTGAACTCACTGTGTAGCCCAGGCTGGCCTCAAACTCAGAGAGATCCTCCTGCCTGAGCCTCCCAAGTGTTGGAATTATAGGCATGCACCACCATGCCCAGCTAGCTTTTCCTTTCTTTATTACTGGAGTTCTTTTGGTTTTGTTTTTGTTTTCTTTGAGACATGGTTTCACTATGTAGTTCAGGCTCCCTTCAACTCACTGTGCAGCCCAAGCTGGCCTTGATCTCATGGCAACCCTCCTTCCTGCCTTAGCTTCCCAAGTGTTGGGATCGCAGGTATGCACCACTGTGCCCAGCTTTTATTGGAGTTCTTGTTAATTACATATGTACCTCTTTTCTGATAGAATTTTAGAGTACTTCATTTGAATACAAAAGCAATTAAAAAAATATTATTTA